AACAATACTATTTGATTTTCCTCCAACAAGTACCTTTCGAATGAGTCACTTTTGTGCATCCTTCGAAGGAGTCAAAAGTGTGACCCTTGGATGGGTCACCAAAAACATGCCTTAAAGTGAGCTTGTAAATCCTTCGAATGGACCATCAAGCATGTACTTTGAATGGGATGTCCAGAGTTGGATTCGAAAGATGCTGATTTGAAGGGGACACAGTTACAAACGAAACCTTGTGAAGGTGGTTCTGTCCAGTCAAAGGCTTGTCTGCCTAAAGGTCCATGTGGCCAAACAAAGGAGTGTATATAGGGGGTCCCTGCTTTGTGACTTCATTCAAACATGCAAAAGATCTATGTTCAAACAAAGCTTGCATGAAAGGAACCACATGCCCAAATGAAAGGTGTTACCAGTAGCTTGTACTGAAGGATTCATACGCCCAAACGAAGAAAGCATGAAGAGAGTCAAGTGCCCAAACGAAAGAGGTATGTTAGGCTTGCAAAGATTTCCAAATGAAAGGTGTGACCAGTAGCTTGTACTGAAGGATTCATACGCCCAAACGAAGAAAGCATGAAGGGAGTCAAGTGCCTAAACGAAAGAGGTACGCTAGGCTTGCGAAGATGTCCAAACGAAAGGTGTGACCAGTAACTTGTACTGAAGGATTCATATGCCCAAGCTAAGAAAGCATGAAAGGATTCAAGTGCCCAAACGAAAGAGGTACGCTAGGCTTACAAAGATGTCCAAACTAAAGAGAAATGCATGAGGCAAATTTGAGCAATCAAAGGATGCCAAAAGGGAGATTTTTGCCTTGGAATCGAAGGAGGATACAAGAGGCTTTATGCCTTGTGAATCCAAGCCAGCGTGCCAGAGGCCCATGCCCAGTCGAAGGATGCAAGCCAAGCTTGCATCTAAAGAGGCCAAAAGGCCAATCGAAGGAGCTGAATCAAAAAATACTTATTTTTTCTCCAAATTTGTTAAAATATTATTTTTATCTGTTTTCTCCCTTTTGACAGTTTTCCTTTTAATCTTGGTACTGGAAAATCCCAATGTACATGTGCAAACTTGAACCTTGAGAGTCCTTGTGAGAAATGCCTTGAAAAATGAGAGGGAAAATTTTGGGGTACAACAACAGTTACAATCCCAGTGACTAGAATAAAAAACCAGAAGATTACACTTCCAATAAATAATACTCAACTCTTTGCTTAAAAGTTCATGAGTGATTACAATACTTAGTTTTGTTTAAAAGCTTCAACGAAGAACAATAACTTGACAAAAAATCAAGTAACAATCAGTTTACCTTACTGTATCAAAATATACATAGGTGACTTACAAAAACACAAGAGACTCTCAAAACTTAAGACTTTAGACTTCCCCTAATTTTACAATTGTGAAAAGTTAAATTACATTAGGTCTAGGTATCTCTTTAAATACTTCTCAGTAGTCCATGGACTTCAAAGTCTTCACCCAAATATTTCTCGATCCATAACATGAGGGTTGCACCAATTATGCAGGAAAAATCTCCTTAAATCTTGGAACAATACATTAAGTTTCCTAAATTGTCTCAACATCCAATTTTAGAAACTTATTTATAGCTAGAGATTAGATCACTTGTTCTAGATTAAATCTTCTTAATCTGCAAAAATATATGTGATATATCTAAAAGAAATATCATAAAATCAAATCAAATTTGTCAAGATTTAAAACAACTTGTACTGATATTCTGGTTCAGCATGTCACAACATCTATCAGAACATTTGTCTTCAATAAAAGCTCACACTCTATTGTATCAGTTTGATTAAGATGTTATAACATTTTGCTCAATATTTGTCATGAACCATGTTTCAGCAACCTGCCAATCCTAAAAGATGAATCTAACATTAAAATTTGATAGTATATTTGAATGTTAAAATTAAATCAATGTCCATAGTTTAGCATTTAGTAGATAAAAATCTTTGACTTAGTAAAGAAAAGTATTTCTCCATATCGATTTGAAACCATAAATATATTAAAGTATAATTAGAATTACATAAAATGTCATGATCAAGATTGACACATAAATATTAAAACGACTACATCTAATTCCAACAAAAGAGAAATTAGCTACTCTTACTCATAGTAGATGTACATGAAGATCTAGAAGAAAGAATTGGAATAATATATGCTCCGATTTCTCAGACAACGCATATGCCTTCAATATGCATAAAGTGGCATTTTTGTTACCATAAAGTGACATTTCTACCGTTTCAAAATCAAATTAGTTTTAACACACCTTTTTAACACGATGTCCAGATTGTTTAAGCATAATTCAAAAGAAGCACTGAACAATGAGAAGTCATCCATGAAGTTTATGCATTAGATAAGAAAAGATGACCTACATACATCATTGAAAGGTAGCATAGGCGTTGCATAGTACGAATGACATTCTTATGTAAGCAAAGACGCCGAATGGGCATGTAAACAATGTTTTCTCATGGTCTTCAGGGTTTATAGTGGTCTGATAGTACCGTGAGTAACCATTGAGGAAGTAGTAAAATGCTTTACTAACCAACCTTTCCAATATTTGATCCATAAAAGGTAATGAAAAATGATATTTTCTAGTGGCTTGATTAGCTCTCTTATAGTTTATACACACCCTTCATCATGTGATTGTTCTAGTTAGAATTAATGTGTTCTTTTCATTTTAAATCACTACCATTCCACATTTCTTTAGAACTAAATGGACGAGGCTCAACCAAGTGCTATATGAGATCAGATAAATCATTCACGCCTCAAGTAGATTTACTACCTCTTTTCTAACAAATTCTTTCATAATTGGATTCCATCGTCACTGGGAACGAGCTTCTAGTTTGAAGTTGCCTTCCATCATAATCTTGTTCATACAGTAAGAGGGATTAATTCCTTTTAAATCAGATAATACCCAACTTATTACTTCCTTATTTTTTCCCAATACTTGTACAAGTTTTTGCTCTTATTGAGTGGATAAAGAATTGTTGATAATCACTGGTTTATTGTCACTCTTCTAAAAAGACGTAGTTCAAGTGTGAAGACAACACTTTCAAAGTTTGGGAGAGTATGATTTTGAATTATAATTCCATGTCTTACACTGGTTGTATCTGGTGAAATCTCCTTCAGATTGTTAAGTTCTTTTGACCTATCTTCGATTTCTTGTTCTTTCTTCTTATTTATGTATTTTGTGTGTTTGTTAGTGTATGTTCTAAAGGAGTAAAACAGTGTAATTGTTTTTCTACATCTATTATTGCTTTCTTTGTGGCATATATACTGGAACAAATTCCCTTATCTTTAGAATGTTCCATCACTTCAAAACGATTAAAGCTTACATCTTCAATTTGAACTTTAACCTTCATTTGTCCATTCTCGACACCAATCATCATATGTGCTATCTTCATAAAAGGTTCGCCCAAAACCAGAAGTACTTCATCGTCTTCGGCAATATCCATGACCACGAAATCCAGTAAAAACAAAAATTTGTTAACTCCTGAAGAGTGTTTTAGTAATTTGACTGTCAGTTACTGTGTCATTCTTAGTCTATTTCTTATGGAAGTCACAAATCATCTTTATAATTGACACCAGTAAGAGATTGATGCTTGCTCCCTAAATCAAAAGTAATTTCTCCTATAACTTAAAGAGTATTCAACTTGGAAAGTAAAATTGGGCAAACTAACACAACACTTGTTTGTGTTCTTTCCTCCATAGCTGGCCGAGAATGTGTTTTGCTTCCCGCCAAAAGAAAAAAGATACATAATCATAGAATCATACAAGAATAGAAATCAATGGAGGAGGTCACGACAATAGGAGTTGTGGTCTCCATAATGATTTAGATGGAGGAACTTGAAATCAAATACTCTCTCCATTTTAAAATATAAGCGAAAAAATATACATTTTTCTTGTTCCAAAATATAAAAAAAAAAAAATCATCTTTTATCGTTTTCAACAAACAATTAGAATTATTTTTACATTTTTCTTAACACTTTATTTAAAAAAAATCACAAATCAAATCATTATGTTTTTATTTTTCTTAATAAATATTATTTTTATTTTTTTCTCTTATATTTTAAAACAAAAAGAATAATTTCAGAGATTGAATTCATCATAGAGAACGAAAACGCAGGGAAAAGTTGACCTAAAGCTTAAGGAGGACCCAAATCACCATTCACTAAGACCTGTAAGGTTGGGGTTGATGAGATCTGAGTAGAGGTGTGAAAAACCTGTTTTGTAAATATTGTTGTTTTTTAACCTGAACTCTAAAGTAGCTTTAATGCAAAAACAAACCAAGTCAGGCGCTTATAAGGCATGATTCAATTACCTTAAATTAAACTAACCAATCAAGTGGTCTCAAGTTGTTAATATGCTTCATTTAAGAATCGATCAGAAAAATCTGAAATCAAATTTTAGGTGAAACAATTATCTCAGTAACCAAATTATCCATAAAAATGAACAGGATAACAAAATTATAGAAACTAAAGGGAATGTATAGTAAATAAACTAGATAACAAAATACACCAATTTACATTATTGTGAATCATCATCAGACAACAAATTTCGGTATACAACAAATATCTTTTCCTCTCCTAGCAGCACTGCACTTTCCTTTTTCATGTAATCTTTATTAGTTTATCTATAAAATATGATGAGATATCATACATCCTTTGTTCATCTTCTAGGATACAATGTCGTTTACATCCGGCCCCTTTGCCTATGAAGCTTGAAAAATACTACTGAAAAGACAGACAAACAATAATACAATAATCATTAATTACGCTATTTGTTCATTGAAAAATTCACATTCAATCGAACAAACCAAGGGACAAAAATGTTAAGTTGTGATTAATATAGATGTGATAGTATGAGGAAATCAATCATAACAACTGATCTCTAGTCAAAGTATGTTATGCATCTGTTTGAACACGAGTTTGGCACCAAGCATGTGGTAAAAACATTAAGCAAATATAAAGAATCCCAAATACCTACCCAACTCGGAATGTACACTGTCATGTGAAGGAAAGCAGATTGTGGAACCTTGCTGCTCTGCTTGAACGAATGTTTGAAGACTTTTCTTGTTCATGGCGTGAACCCTTTAGACGCAAAGCTTTTCTTCTGTTTCTCATCCGAAACATGAAGTCTTCTGTATCTAAAACATACGACACCTAACAGGAAGCAACAGTTGTCGAAAAGAGAATATAAGAATGACAATTCGGAAACCCAACCCAACAGAGTAGGACATCATACTAAGAAAACATATGGATAGTAATAAATCTTATGACATAATACCTTGGAAGAATTGCTAGCTATCTTACACTCCAGACCATTAATAATTTGTAGTCCTTCCATAACCTGGCTTGACAACTCATCATTACCGGCATATCCATGTTTATTCCTGCAAAAATAAATAAATTAGAATACATTAATTAATTAGAGTATTACCCCCAAATTGTAGTATGCAATGGAAATAACATTTCTTCTGATTAATCAAATACCTTTTCAGGAAAATCCCTGACGTCTTTTGGTCCGGGACAGAGAGGAATTCATTAAGCAGATAGGCTGAAAAGTTTGGGTCCACCGCCACAGCAGTAGTCACTTCATGTTTAACATTACCACAGTCCATAAGTTGAATCGATAGTGTCTTTGGTTTTGGTGACTACAATGATATAAACAATGTTATAGAACATCTAACACTACTTAAAACTTCATTCAGGAGCAGGTTTAAATAGACAAGTAAGACTGACTTACAAATTCAATACGATATATGTTCTCATCATGAAGAAGAAAGCGAGCATTTTCGTGATAAACTATATCGAAAAACTTTCCAAGTTTTCTTGATTTCTCATATGCATTTAGTTGAAGAAGCTTATTATCGATCTCATCGCTCGCAACAGCCTGAAGCTGAAATAGGAGTACATGATTTATGCGTGAGAAAGAATGAATGGTACTGAAGTTCCAGAAAGTACAGTTATGGCTTTATGCATTTAACCTGTTTAACAAGTTTATATATCAGTTTGTCTAATGTGAATAAGAGATATGATTGAGTTCCAATAATAGCTCGACAATCATCCTCAAATTTTGTATTGTCAGAAGAACCATCCAGCAAACTGTAAAGCGCATTCATGAACCTGTAGCATAAAGAAGACACTTGGTATTGAGTAGATATTTACATTTATTTATCTTCCAAGTTTTCAATAGAATGCAACATTTCCAAGACATATACCTGTCATATTGATTAGTAGAGCTTGTATCGTTTGAAGCCCTCCATTTCCTTTCAGCTGATGATGAGTTAACCTTTGCTGATTGTATTCTCTCATACAATGTCTGTCAAATTAGCAAGGGGAAATTTATTAAACTATACAAGTGAATATGTAATATGCAACAAACTCTGAAATATTGATTTTTTGATTAACAATAAATTTATTTATATACACCCAAAAACATTGATACCCTGCTAAGTTCCAGCTTTGCGAAACCTACATAAAAAAGGTCCTTCCTACCCCCCTCAAATTTCAAATTCTACAAATATTTTCATCTCCCAACAGAAAGCTTGCCAGTTAAATTAAAACCATTATTGAATGACCAAAGCACTCCATCTTTAACAATAGCAGATTACTCATCTTCAGTTTCCTTTCTGCTCCCGCATTGGATCATCTGCAGCTTGGTCTATTCATCTTCCTTTTGATGTGAATCTATTAGGAATTAAGCCAATGAGGTGAGCCCAACCCAAAAGACCCGTCCATTAGGTGGGAGAGCCACATAACTTTAGTACCACATTGAACACTTTTAGTTACTCAAAGTGGGACTCCAAACATTGCACCCCATTAAGAGCCAATGTCCACGGCGGCTTTCACTCTATCAGCATAGACCCAGTGGTAGCCCTTTCCTCTTTGGCAGCTTCATTCATCTATCAGTATTCAGTGGTAAACCTTAATCCAGTCTAGCTTAGCCGTTTCAATAGCCAATTGTTAGGACTTAAGACCATGAGGAAAGCCAAACCCAAAAGATTAGCCTATTAGGTGGGAGAGCCTCATGGCTTAAGTACCACGTTGAACACTTATATCCACTTATCCTGCCAAATGGCCTCAACTCACATATTCCTGCCCACCCACTCCCACCCTTCATCATGACAACCTCACCTAATGACCATCTATCTAGACTTAGATCTCATCTCAAAATCCCTCTTGTCTTCAATCCTTTTTCTCAGAATTTGGGTTGGATCTTACTCATCCCTACAAAACCGGCTATATTGTCCGATGTGAGACTCTTAACACCCCCTCACGCCCAGAAATTGCGTCTGAAACGTGGAACTAAACGGTGGGTGGCCCCATGGATCTTAGATGAGACTCTGATATCATCTCAGAATTTAGGCTGGGCCTAACTCATCCCTACAAAACCGGCTTGTAAGGTGAGGATTGTCCCCACTTATAAACACATGTTCAGGCCATATATTGTCCGATGTGGGACTCTTAAGAGTTTTTACTCTTGGCCACAACATAATTTCATTCATTTCCCATAGTCATCTAATTCCCTGAAGTAATCATATCTCAATTAAGAAAATCAATTTTCCTAAATCAGTATCAGTTTCATCCACAATTGGTTAAGAATCCTTGGTCTCATTGATTTAATCATTAAGATATATTAAATAAAGTGGTTCTACAAACAAATACACAATAAGGAATCATCCAGATGAGATGAATCAATTGATTACAGATACCGAAACAATTAGCAAAAAAATTGAGAGAAATAAAAAAACGTGAGAAGGGTAATTTAGACATCATATTTTTGAAAAATTATTTTTCGACTATTATTTTAACTTAATGAAAATAGAATAACAGAGGTAAAATATAATGATTGAAGATTAAACTGTGCTGTCTAACAAAATATATATTTTTTGTACCTGATGAAGTCTAATCAGCACATAAAAGGAGTCATTTCCATAAAAAACTTGAGAATTCCTGTCTTTCACATGTAACACTGAGGGAACATGCTTTGTCAATGGTTTCACGTTTAGAAGAAAGCGTTCAGAAAATGGTAATGACGTTCCATCTCCTTCAACGTCATGCACATCAGCCACAACTTCAGCTTCACCTTCACTTTCAGCCTTACTATCATGTTCTCCATCCTCATGCTCTTCTCGAGAACACTCATCGCCGTCAGCAGATTCGCTTCCAGACACATCAACATTTTCAGAAGCATTTTCACTGTCCTCTGAGGACCTCTGAGGACTTTCTTCGCATTCATCATCAGCATCCACATAATTTTCTCGTCTGGCTTCACCACGAACTTCTTCCCCAGGCCTATTTTGGTATTGCTGATTCACACCATCATCTTTTCCTTTATGCACTGCATCCAAACCAGCATCTCCATAAACTGCAGAATTATCCTCTTCAAAGTCTCCATTTGGAGATAACTCACCCTCTTCTCTTTCGCTTTTGAACTGTCGATTTGATTCCTCTTGATACCTGCAAAGGTCAGTGCCTCCAGCAATGGCCCCATTTGTGGAAGTACCTGCTCTGGCAGAATCACCACCCTAAATAAAGAAACAAACATTCAGTATACTGCTTGTAGTGATGTCTGGGGTCTAAAAGATATCAGTACATTACTCGTAGTGAAGCCGGTAGAAAGACAATTACAAATAACTTCACAAGTGAGGTGATCAAATGTTAGTCCCATAAAACAGTTAAATATGAAATGATGTTATCAATGCTCTGATTTGACAAGTCAACAACTTATGGCAATATAATGACAATTACCAAGAACGAAGTCCCATAAACACAATTAACAAGGAAAGGAGGCCATTAATTCTCTGATTTGATTATCACTTAACATTTAAGCCTTGGCAATTAAAATATGAGGATTAGTTTCATTGTAGAAAGATTATACATTAACCGTGTACACGCTACAAGCTGCACCAACCATGCTATAACACTTGACTAAATTCAAGGAGAGAAAACATCACATAGAAATGAAAATCTGGTTTGTAACACGGTATCTCCAGAATTCATCAATTGACAGTTGAAGGCACAAGCAAAAGTGTCAATTGTAGAATGCCAACAAGAAAGAAAGCATAACCTTAAAAGGCCACTACATTCCCCTTAATATCCACATCTAAATCCAAATGATATATGTTCCTTTATTCTATTATATGCTGTCATTTTATTTAGAACTAGACGTAGGCATATGAAATAATATGTAAGCCCGAATTGGAGTAGTTAAGGTGTTTCTCTTGCAGCAAAAGTATTTAACCATTTTTTCAAGAAGGAAACAACTGACAAAAACTGCACCAAGAGTAATGCCATACCTGTGATGAAGGCAATTCATGTCCTCCCGTGACAGACACATTATCATTTCTAGATGGAGTAACAGCAAGTCCTGGAAGAAAAAAGAAGTATATCAGGTCCATTCACTAATCAGAAGTAACATATGAAGATAAAAGGAGAAAATAATTACAAGGTACTACCTCCGTCCCTTATTAAAGACCGCATGGAATTTATGCGGATATTAAGAAAAGTGGTTGTAGCAATAAACATGTTAAAAAAAGTCTGTTGCTTTACATAAATTTGTGTTTCTCAATTGAACGCTTAATAGGGATAATTTTGTAAAGACGTCATTAATGCATGTGAAAGTTTGAAGAAATCTTATACTAAGGGACTACACATACAGAAAGTGGTTCTTACTTTAAGGGACAGAGGTAGTATTATTTTAGATAAATGGTAGGGTAAGAATCAAGAAGTGCCATTATTCTTGAAGTTAGTTCGTTACCTGATGCATTATCTATCTTTATTCTTTTATTACTTAGCTCCATTCCAGATGCTTGTGAGACATTATCGACTCCTGATAGCTCATTAGGCACAAACGCAATTATATCCGGTTTACCGTTTTGCAGATTATTGCAAAAGGCTTCACTTTTATGCACTCTATGGTCTGAATCAAGACATTTATCTTCTATAATCCCAGTATCACCATTTGACTGCCATGCTTTGCTAGAAGTTGACTCGTCTAACGGCAAACAGTCATCACCATTTCTAGAAGTATTTATATGCTTTGGGCTCATTATGGTGGCACCAACACCAGGACTACCATCACTTTCAGCAACGTTTCTCCCAGAATTACTCTTAGCCACAGCATCTTCAGTATCCTCAGCACCCTGGGGCCGACAAGGTACACAAAGCATGGGTTCTAAAAATGTTGTCCAAACCTTCATAACTTTATCCAACTGCTCAGTTGTGCAAACTTCTCCACATGAATATTTTATAAGCTGATACAAGTCTTCATGGATGTCTGTATCAAGATATTCAAACTCCAGGTTTGGAAGAATAGGCCGTCTATTTCCAGCAGCAATTGCAAGAAGAACATCGTCTTCTTTGTGTTTCTTCTCACTGATTTCTTTGATTTCGGACAGCAAGGCTGGAAAATAGTTTCACAAAAGAAAAGAGTCATGAAAACGGAATGAACAACTGTGCCATGATCATCACATATATTGAATTAAAAGTTGCAATGCATTCCAAGAATGGGATACCACTCACAAGGTTGATCATAGACTCAAAAAAACCATGTTTTGTTGAGACCAAAATAAACAAGTGAGCAAAATCAAGCCAAAAGACAGTTAGTGAAGAAAAGAAAAGATTTATCTGTTCATATTTTATTCAAGTGGCCGAAGTAAAGGTATGCAAAAACACGAATTTAAAAGAAAAGAGAAGACACCAATCACAATGTTATCTCACATGGTTAAAAAATTTTAAGCTTTAACAAAAACTCCAATTCATTCACACATTAAAAGCCTCAGGAAACCCATGTAAATAAAAGAAGTGAAAAGTTATCTATTACCTTTGGTGCTCAAGCTTTTGGTGTCCTGTTGCTTAAAGTAGAAGCTACGATGATCAAGAGATTTGTGATAATTCTTGGCATATATTTCAGCCCAAACTTTACTGAAATCGGCACGACATCTTGCCCACTCTTCCTGTTTCTGCTTCAAGCGTGCTAATATCACTGGCAAAGCTAGAGACGCGTTCTTCTTTAGCACTTCCAACACATCAAGACCATGGTCACCATATATTCGTTCAATACACCTAAAGTTTAGAGCTAAAAGAACATCGAGAGAAAGTCATGTCAGAATATTGAAAACTTCAAGAAATTACCTTATATTGCATATCAATTGCATACCTGTTAAGTGCTCCTCAATACGAATCGGGCTGTCTCCTTTTAGTAGACTTTTGTTGATCTTTTCTAACAATTCTTGTACTCGTTTAGTTGTCACATTTACAGATTCTAACAACATATCAAGCTCGAACCTGCCAGCACAGATTAACATAACATCAGCAGAGGTTTGTGGAAAATCATAACTATTAATCAATCTAGCGTTGTCAAATAAACAAAAAACAAAAACAGATTGATGTTGCAATTATGACTGCAACACGGATCATCATCAGAAAATCAGTGAAATAGTCAAGCTTTAGGGATCCTGGACACAAAAAGTGTCAGGTATGATTTTGTAACCCAGATAAGAAAAACCTAATTCATGGCCGTTCAAACAAAAACCCTCACCAAATGAGCCTCTTAGACGCGACCTCTACTTCTTTACAACATCCCTCTCTGAATTGCACTTCCTCCATCTCTTCTCTCTTTCAATTTGCGACCTCCCTCTCTTCTCCTTCAAGAAGAGTAATTTTGGCCCCCCCTTCTCCATATGGATTCCCCCCTTTCCCTAATTTTTTTTCATATGCACTTCCTCCATCTCTTCTCTCTTTCAATTCGTGACCTCCCTCTCTTCTCCTTCAAGAAGAGTAATTTTGGCCCCCCCTTCTCCTTATGGATTCCCCCCTTTCCCTAATTTTTTTTCATATGCATAACCTAGTGTGTCCCTCTTTTGTGCACATGTAGTCGGCTACTTGTGGGAGCCAATATATTTTATTCTTTTACTTTAAATATATATATATATATATATATATATATATATATATATATATATATATATATATATATATATATATATATATATATATATATATATATATATATATATATATGTATGTATGTATGTATGTATGTATGTATGTATGCATACACGCATACACAAATACATTGATATTGTATTTTAATATGACTTTTGTTAAATTTTTACATAAATTAATATTATATTTTATCAAGTATTTTCAATAAAATTACACTTAGTTTAAAAGGTAAAGTTCAACTTTCCTAATAATAAATGTCAATGCAAGTATTACAAATTTATGTAAAAGCTCTGAGAACGGAAAAAAATTAGTAAGCTAATTTACTTGGTCAAAAAAACTATGTTGAATGGATACAAGTAATGAGATTTTACATCAACAAAAATTTAATGTATAAAATAAAATATTCATATAAACATGACCAAATTGTTTAAAGACTAGGATTTTAGAGGAAAATGAGCTTAAATAACCTGCATAATAATAGACTACAATTAGTACTGAGTTGCTTGATCGGTTAAACTTAGTCGTTCAACTTTATAATAATCTTCGTAAAAAATAAATCATTTGATTATAGAGATTGTCTAACAAGTTTAGTTTAAGTTTTGATTTAGAGGTTATGTACCTTATATATGTTATTTTTATGCAGAGTATGTTGCAGAAAAATACAGAAGAGTATTTGAATAAATAGAAAATAAGGAAAGAATCCACAAGTAACAGAGAAAGTATGAACATTGTCAACAAAAGGATGGGAACGCCTTATTTTTTGCTACTCAAAACTAGTTTAGTTTAATGTTCTGATTTAGAGGTTATGTACCTTATACATGTTATTTTTATGCAGAGTATTTTTTGCATTTAATATAGGATATTACTACCCATCTTATGATCCTCAATTTACTATCTTTCACATCCCCCTCCTAATCCGAGGTAGAATTCAATTTTGACAGTATTGGATAAATAAATAAATAAAACATGCATTATGAAGGATGAAATAACATTATTGGCAAACTCTAACCTGTCATCTTCGCATCTAAACAAACTCTCTTCATATTGATTTTTGCGCATATGTTTAAAGGAATAATCCTCACTTCCTGAAGTGACAGACACCCAGTGATCATTCAACACTTCCGCGCCAATTTCTGTTCTCTGGCTAGCAATAGGTATTGGATACTGCATAAGTGCATATAATACTCATAAGAGCACAATAATCGAGGGAACCTTAATGTCTCCATTAGAATAAGATTAAATACAAACTGAAAAGTATAGCATGTATACATTTTTTGGTAGGAGACGGTAACTGGGAGTGCATCGTTCACAGTTAGAAAGGTCCAGCTCATTTATTGGTTTAGAGAGATACTTATCCTTGCTGGGATATAGAGACATCTTAGAACCTGAAACATCCTTGTTGGAAATTATAGAACATTTGTCCCTTTCTCGGAATTCACGATCCCTTTCTTTCATACTATCATCCCTGTAACGATCTTTATCGTGATCCCTATCTCTCTGTCCAGCCTTCATTGGTTTCAGTCCATGTCCTTCAATCCATAAGGACTCTAATGAACATAAGTCAGAAGGTCATTACAACAAATATATAATGCTGAAAATGATCATATGATTCCAAATCACATTGCATAAAGATTATAAGGGCAACCTCATAATAGTATAGAGTAGAATATTTACATACTCTTATTCATGACGCCAGCAAGGAATCCACCATCTGCATTACAGGACCTAATTAGAAACAACTTTAAAACTTTAACTTCATAAAAAGCAATACATTAGATTGAATGTTACCATTCTTCTCAGCTTGTAGCAAAAATTCATTAAACCCTTCGATAAGATCTGGATACTTTCCCAGTAAATCACCCACCTGGAAAAATAAGCTACCAAGAGTTAGCTATCATATTGCATATCTAGTAAAGCGTGTTCTTCAAGGGAAATATAAGTTGCACTAAGAAATACAATGAAAGGTAGAGCTGATCATAGATTGATAGGAGAAAACTTCAGTTATCTCTAAACAAAAGTTTTCTCCAAGCCCAGATAAGTTACTGCACAGATTCATCTATTATTTCCTACGCTACATCCTATTTGTACAATTTTTTATAATGGAGTTCCATAAATAAATTGTTCAATTGTTTTACTACTTCTAGCTTTTCATTACAGAACTCAGTTAAATCAAGTAGAGCAAACTATTGAAGTGACGCAATCTGCAGCATTGACAATAGACCTTCTTGAATGCCAAGAAATTGTTCTATTTTCAGACATCAATGTTGACATAGGCTAGTGAGAGAATCAATCTCTCAGTCTTAAAGGAAGGCACTTATCCTTTCCAGCTCCTGCTGGAGCAATTTGGTTTTGTACTCAATGCCAGAAAGCAAACTTGCATAAGTACCTGCCATCTCTCCTACAGGTTAAGGCTATTGGGGAAGAATGCAAAACGGAAGAAATATCTTAAGAGTATTGAAATATGGCTTCATATACAATTCACATATCTCTCATTGTTTTAGGCGTCAATGTTCACTAGGGAAAATCAACATGGCCAGACTAATTACAGTAGTCACCCATAATTGAAGAATCTGACATGAAAATCAGTAAAGTAATTAACAAAAATTATATATAAACAGTACCAGTGACTGCAATTCTTGTCGAGTAATAATCTCCCGGCTGTAAATATGTAAACACTTCAAAAATTCCTGGTAGCTGTCAGGATTTCGTAATCTCTCTTTGACTTGATCACAGAAAGCTAACTCTTGACTATACACACCTGAGATGACAAAATTCAAGATACATAACAAACTACAATAGGAAAGGTTGAAAATAAAAGCACTGACGAACAAAGAACAAAACACCAAAAAAACAAATTTGGAATAAAATATTTTTCTCCCAGTATGCAAAACAAGAAAAATATTTATATAACTTTAGATCATAAATACCAAGTTTAAAGCATTTCTTGATTATGTATAATAATCCTATCAGCAAAAGAAAATCTATTCTTTATCTATCAATAATTTAGCATTATGAACTTTCAATCCAGTTCCATATGTTTCTATCTACTTATTTCCCATGTGAACATGAAAGCATATTTCCACCATAAAAAGCATTGTACACCATAGCATTATAGGTAAAAATATACAAGATAAGTTGATAGATTCAAGATCAACCGTAGTGATATTTAAGAGGATATTTATCATCACTAATGGATGACATAGGTCGCATACCAAAATTTTGATCTGCATCATGCAATGGTTCAGCTCCCGAGTCTTCAGCCATATGATCAAATTTCTGTTTCTGGGATAACCGCTCCCTATCTCGACCCCTGCCCTGCTCATCTCTATCACTTCGTTCCCGTTTTCTCTTGTCTCTATCTTCTCTACGGTTCTTCTCCTTCTCCACACGTCTCTTATGCTCCTTTTCTGCCCTCAACAAATTTCCATCATGATCTGGGTCAGGACGGTCAACACTGGTGTCACGGTCACCATGTGAAACAATGGTCCTTTCTCTCTGGCATGGAGATAAGAAGAATGTTAGCTTGATTACGAACTATAAAACTCAAATGGACAAAGCCACTAAGGTAGTCAAAGACGAAGGGTGGGCACTTAGGGATTAGAGGGGTTTAACACATTGAAGGGAAAATTGTCAAAGACCGGCAACTACACAAACACAGCATCCTCCAGAGTAGAAAATAAATGATTTATACATTCCATTTTCAAAACCCTAATCTGCTAGATGATAAGAGTCTTGAGCACTAAACAACAATTAATATATTTTTTAACATTATAACTAATTTACCAAATTTAACATCCTAGCATGCACACTAACCAGTTGGCATTATATTTGTTATAGCTATGAAGGCATGCCTCACATGGACCATAAATACCCTAGAGGCAAGCGCGGCAGCGCCTTACTGAATGAGCATCTAGTGTTCAGTGTTTGTTAAATAGCAGCTATGTTGTGTTTGTTAAATAGCAGCTATGGTGTATCGGAATTTGAACAATCCGCTTTTGTTGCGTCACGCTATTTAGTATGAAATGTGGTCAAATAGTGACCATAGTGCAACTATAGCTCTATTGCATGGTGGAATTAGAACAAAGTGCTGTTCTCCACAATCTGCAATTGACAACAGTGTTGGCATCTGAGCTCAGCTCCTTAGGTATGCCTTTGACTATAGAAAGGGTCATAAGAATTGGAGAGTAACCTTTTCAAGATGCACTTGCCGCACTGTTGGCATTGCAGAGCTCCTATCTCGAAACCCAGAATTCCGAGCAACAGTATGAGCAGAGGCAGCAGCGGAAACGTCGGGAAGAAAATGAATAAACCCATCAAGAAGATCCGGGTGGTCTTGGAAGAGTGCAGCAACCTGAGGAAGTGCAATCATGATTAAAATGGGTTTCAAAGAAATATGTCAAGTAATGGAGTAAATAGAGAAAAGAAAAGAAAAAGACAACATTACAAATTTGTCTGACTATAACATGATACACAAGTATAGACAGCACATACCTCCTGGTAGACTGCGTCGATAGACTTATTTTCCTTTCTGTACATATTCAATATGTCTAGAAATGCCTTGTAAACATGATCATCACCATGAAATCGAGTCTGCATGAAAAGAATGCATTAGGCTTAAAAGTAAAACTTTTCATTCTACATTGCAAATAAATCTGCATGAAGAGAACCCATCAAATTCAACAACGCTCTTACCTTTATCTTGTTCACAAAACTCATAGCTTCTTCAAATTCAACAGGCTTTTTTGAGTGAGGTTGATCATCCTCGTTCGGAAGGGTGATTTCATACCCCTTTGGCAAAAAGGTGTTAAATCCCAATATTAAATCTCTATGACCTCTAAAAAGATCCTTCACTCTTGCTATGACACCAGCAGTATCAATTCTACAAATGCACCAAAAGGAGAAACAAATCATTTACAACTAACAAATTCAAAATCCTCTATGCATATAAAAAATTGGAGCACCTCCAAAAATGGAGGAAGAATAAGGTACGACGTGATCAAACCTTTGTGCTTTAAAATCTTTCATGACCTCCAAAAAATCTTCATATTTATCCCTCTTATCTTGAAAAATATCCTTTACTGCCTTGAGATACGATAAGGCATCATTAGTAGTCAGTTTTTGACCACCTCCATTAACCATCAGGGATTGCCCAGACCTTCAGATAAAAAAAACATCAGAAAATATTTAGTCCATTAAAGAAAATCCATAACAATATATTACAATGCCAACACAAAAATAATCAAAAACCCTAACCCTAACCTATGAAGCACGGACATTGACCCAAACACGACATTGACCCAAAAATGAATAAATGAATCGCAATCACAATTGTCGGTGCTACAGAGATCCTAACTCAATACACCAGTAAAAGTTGATAATCAACCTATGAATAGATCGATTCAAACACAATTGCTAATAACTAACATCTGGTGTCATCTCTCAAAGTCAAACATTCCATAAAAAAACTAAAATTCTAGAAAGAAAAAAAAAGACTAGACACTTTACTAAAACCTAAACCTAGAGAAGATGATAGAAAAACCAAACAACTATCTAAAACTCATACGATTTCACATATAAGTAAATAAAAATCGCCAAACTTCATCAAACCGAAAATAATAAACAAAAAATTACCACCGATTGAACATTCAGATGCTTGATCAAGCACACAAATTAAGGGGGAAAAAAGAAATACGAACACAGAACACAGTGTAATAAACATAAATTGGAGAGAGAGAGAGAAATCACAGAAACTTACGCTTCTCCTCTAGCTTCTCCTCTAGAAGATAACATAGGTCGTTTAAGCTGAGAAGAAGTCGTCATAAAACCCTCCTCTCGTGACCGCTTCATATCTATCAACAAACCACAAATTCACAAAAAAAACGCAAAAACAACTCTCTCCACCACTATATCCCTCTTCAACAACGAATTACAATTTTCAAACTCGATAATTCAAAATTTCGAAAAAATTTCCACAACCTCAACGTGCTTATTCAACAAACAGTAGCAACAATACTTCAGATCTAACGGTAACAAATCATCCCCAAGCAAGAATCAGCACGAAGAGATCAACTCAAAGAAGCCAAATCCTGAAGGAAGAAAAAACTATATCAGAGAATCAGAAGCGAAAATTGAAAATCGAAAATTCGCATTACTTCAATGTAAAGCAAGATGAAATGAATTCGAAGAGAAAGAAAGTGAAATTTACACAGAGTGATCGTGAAGTCTTCAGAAAAACAGGTTGAAAATAAAAAGTGATTTTCAATTAATCGAGAAAATGCGTTGAATTGAATAAGCGCTTTTGATTTTGATTTTAATCAAAAGCTTTGTGATGATTCTTCAGAAAAAAATGAATTGATGAAGAAGACACAAAGGTTTTAAATTTCAATGAGAGTATTTTCTGGGCGTAAAAAACAGAACAGAAAGAACGAAGAAAAAAAAATAGTGAAATGAAAGAGTTCACAATGTGGTTTATATATGGCGTGGCGCTAGTTAAATTTGACCCGTTTTCACCGGTAATGGATACGCTTTTTACCGCTTATAAACGGTTACTGATTTTTTTAATTCTTTTTACCTTTTGTATAAGTGAACATTAGGGCTAATCTAGATGTAGATTCTCCGGTCTGGCCGTTAAATTTTATTTTGGATGAGGCGAAATGAAATTTTGGGTTTTAGATTAGATTTTTTATAGTGATTATTACTAGGGTTTTTCTTATATATGAATTATAATTTTTTAATTTATGATAATTTTTTGTATGCTTTTTTTTTTGTGATATAATTTTTTTTTGTATTATATTTTTTTTATGATCTTGTTTGTGATAAGTAGTTTGATGGTGAAGTGCTTATAATGCATTGCGATGCTTATTCTAAGTAAGGGATGATGATGAAATTAGGCCTAACAGAAAGTGAGAGAAAAACTCTTGATAATGGAATGTATAATAACTTCCTTTTATTTTGGATTAGAATTAAATGATTTTGATTTTACTTTATTTAAAAGAAGAATTATGAATTAAATATGAAATATATAGATTTTAGTCAATTATCATATTAAAGTTAATTGAAAGGTCTAAATTATTGTTACGGTCAACTACTTAGCCTCATCAAATATTGAAAAAATTTAATATGTTTTTTTAAAATAAAAATAGTTATACAACAAATCAAAGTCTCTTAATATGCACCTCAAATATATCTTGGTCCTTCGAAACTTTCATTTTAGTTTCAATAAATTAGAGAGAGATTCAATCTTGAAAAATGATGGTATGTTATATGCGACATGTAGTTTATGTCTTAGGGATTCATCATACATGCCTTTAGTTAAGAAATTGAGGTTATTGACATTATTGATGATATAAGAATGATTTTAACTTAACTCGTCATATTGATAAATGTGAAAGATATTACGTAGTGTGCCCTTGATAATACGATCGATATTGTTTATTGCACATCACTAATAATATAAAAGAATTATATTTAATGATTTGATTCAAACACTTTAATAATTTCTCTAACTGATAATATAAAAGAATTATATTAATGATTTGATTCAAACACTTTAATAATTTCTCTAACATAATAAGGTTAAATATATAAGGAGGCTTCATAAATATTTCAACATTTAATTTTAGTTTTTTTTTTAAATTTCTTTAAATAATAGTTCTTTTAAACTTTTTCGTCTATTTAGTCTTTCTTGTAATTTATTGATGGTTTTAAAAAACTTAACGATTAAATTAACAACAGTGTTAGCGATGTTTTTACTTAGCGACTGAATTAGTGATACTTTTAACGACGATTTTAGCAGGAGTGACCAAAAGTGTGGATGAAAATTTTTAAGAGGATCATTCTTTCTTTGAAGAAATTTTTTTAAGGATTAAAAGTGAAAATAAGATATTTATGAGGACCAAAAACATATTTAATCATTGATATTAATGTAATATACCATTACATAAACTATGAGTTAATTCATGGTTAGAGCATGATCTTACTGTGATCATAACGAGTAAGTGGTCGGCGACGCATCAGCAATCTTGGAACGATCAACGGAAAAGGGGGCGTACATGTAGACATTCTAATGGTTAAGTCAGTTCGGGTGAAGAGGTAAGTGAATAAGGGTTAGAGAATAGAATATTTGACCCTCCTGCAGATGAGGGTTTTTATATTGTGCCTCCAGCGTTGGGGCAATGATGTCCGTAGTATGCTGAGTGTTCAAGCTCACACGAATGACTCTCAAGATTCCTACGTGAAAGTAGGTATGACCAGCACGTGATTATCGTCCTGGATCAACTGCTCCGCAATCCACGGGTGATGGACGAACTTGCCTGTTACAAAGGTCAGAATGGTTCCTCCACTCGAGCAAGATGAGTGGGTTCAATTGGTGACATGTCCTCAGATAAGGAGCACATGGGGAACATGTTCTACACTGGTCCCAACAGATTGGGCCAACACTTTGAGTCATCCTCGACATAGACATGGATTGGGTCGTGCTCGATGTTGGGTTAACCACAGCCTCAGTCTAGAATAGGAACCCCCTAAGTTGTTGCTCATAAGCTGAGAAGCAATGACTTAGAGTCAGTTCGTGTGTCGAGGAGGGGCGAAGGACTCCGCGCGACACAAGCCTTCATTTGGTTCCGCAATTGCGAGCTCACGTTGGCTTAGACGGTGCTCGCCATTGACATATCTTGTTTGCGCATTTGCATACACGGTGGCGGCATTCTGCTCGTAACTTATTAGATTTAACTTACGAGGAGAACGTGTTGCGCAGGGGTCGCGGTCAAGAGTTTAGCTTGCACTTGCGTCGAGCATTTGGCTTGATCACGAGTGGATTTTCTTCAAGTTTTTCTCTAAGGCCATGCTCGTGAGGGAGTACGAAAGTTTATTGTTTGTGTTCGACGAGAGGTGCTCGACGTCTTGGAATCCAAAAGGTTAATGGGACTTGAAAAGACAAATGATTTGTGCCCTCGAGCCACGCGTCACATTTATTAAATATATAGTGATGGCTTATGAATAGGGGTAATTATGAGGAAACGGTGACACATTTCCCCAAGTGATAACATGCTCGCCCGTGCACTGAAGATGGTTTATAAATAGGAAGAATGAAGGGACATTTACAAAGTTTCCTCTTTTCTTCCCTCTATTTTCTCTCTGCGTTTAGAGCTTCGTCGTTGTCGTTGTTACCAAACCGCCATCAACTTTCATTTCTTCCTCCGATCACGTAAGTTTGATTTTGATTTTACCTTTCTAACGTTTGTCTTTGCTTTTTTATCGTGTCTTTGCACTTGGTTCCGGCGGTTGTTGGTGTTTGGCGGTGGTTTAGCCATTCTCAGACGCTGGCGCCAATGAGATTCATGAGTTTTGCGATGAAACTTTGTGTCGAAGAGGTTGTTCCCCATGACATTCATGAGTTTTATGATGAAACTTTACGTCAAGGAGGTTGTTCCCCGCGAAATTCATTAGTTTTGCGATGAAACTCTGCGTCGAGGAAGTTGTTCCCCGTTAAATTCACGATTTTTATGATGAAACTCTGCGTCGAGGAGGTTGTTCCCTGCGACATTCATGAGTTTTGCAATGAAACTCTACATCGAGTAGGTTGTTCTCCATGAAATTCATGAGTTTTATGATGAAACTCTGCATCGAGGAGGTTGTTCCCCATGACATTTATGAGTTTTATCATAAAACTTTGCATCAGGGAGGTTCTTCTCGGTGAAGTTCATGAGTTTTGTAATGAAGCTTCATGTCGGGGAGACTCTTCCCCATGGAGGTTGTTCGTTGAGCTCTCCTCGTGATTTCCTTGTCGTTGAATAAGGGCTTTGGCCGAGGGCAGTGTTTTTGTGCCTCTATTCGCCCTTTCAGTTGATTTGCAGTGGAAGGGTGGATTTGATTTGATCGTCGAATTCATTGTTGTCCTCTGCTTTTCAGGTTATAATGGATCATAACACCGAGGGTGTTCACCTGGTCGACACAATCACTGATCCTGAACTACATTGGGTCAGACCGGAACCCCGAGGAATAGCCTTCCATTTTGCCAATTTTCCAGAGAGCATGTTTATGATCTTCGAAGAAGGTACGGTCTATCAGGGGGCTCCAGAGAACCGGGAGGTTTATAAATTGAGCGGGATGAGCGAATCTACTTGCGTTTCTCAGGGAATCGTTTCTCCATGTATGAGTATGCCTTCAAGGAGCTAGGGCTCCGGTTGTCGCTCAACGGTCTCCAAACAAGCATTTTTTATCAGTTGGAGTTAGTGCTCTCTCTGTTACATCCAAACTCGATTGCCTTCATCTGGGCCTTCGAGATCGTGTGTCGATATCTTGAGATCGGCACTACCATTCCTCCATTCTTCCGCTACTTCCACCTTCAACAACAAACTTTGAATAGGAGGCACAACTGGGTGACCCTTAAAAAGCCTAAGAAGTTGTTCAAGACGTTGACAGACTCCGCTCGCACCTTCAAGGATAGGTCTTACACGATTAAGCTTGTGAGTCGAGCGGCCATCGATTCCGTGTTTGAGCGTGTGGCTGTAACCAGGGAATATGGGAGTGTGTTTCACAATGAGGATAGGGATGAGGTGACAAATTTGGTCTCGAGGGTCCATATCCGTTGGAGTAACGACCATTTTGAGCAGAGCACAGAGCATTATATCACTAAGCTTAACGAGTTGGACTCCGAGGACCAACGTGGCTACGACAAGTTTGTGAAGTTTGTCAATAATTTTGCTCCTGTTCGGTGGGAGACTAGGAACGGGAAGGTTGTCCTTGACGAGCGGGGCTAACCCATTTACGAGGCTCGATACATCAACACGAAAGAGCTCCTCGAGTGTGATACTGACGAGGATGATATATTTCTTTTAGGTAGTTGTTTTTCTCTTAACATATTTGTATGTTTTTTCTTCCTCGGTATACTAACCTACCTATTATTTGTCACAGATAAAATGTTCGACCATCAAGATCGTGTGATCAAGATGGCACTGAAAAGAGGGGAAGTTGGAAAGGGACAAAAGAAGATCTTTAAGAGTCGTTTTGTTCATATCCTGAATCAGTTCAAGGATGGCTCTGGTACTTCCTCTTCCCCGACGGGCAACCTGTATCCCCTTCAACAGGACACCCCGAGAAAGAAAATGCATTATGTGAAGGATGTCATGAATATAGACCTCATAGGGGATGCTGGAGAGGATACGTTTGTGCTACCCCTTGCTATCTTAACAAGGGGTTCTTCAAAGAAGGGCATTATCTAATTGTACCTCAGGCAGAGTCTTCGGCTATCCTGGGCCTCAGCGCGACGAGTAGGAGAAAGGTATTGGCTCAGGATGTGGCACCTTTGACGAGGGTCTTGGAGAAGTTATGGGCAGAAAATGAGAAGCTGCAAGCGAAGGTACTCAAGCTAAAGGTCTTCTTTGAGGATTATAAGGATAAGTGTAACACCTTTCTAAACCCAACGGAATATTCATAATTATTTAAAATAATATCAGAGTAATACAACAAAAGGGCGTCACATTTTATTTGTGAAATAATCATACGTGTTAGTCTTACTCCGTAACACGTGTTTTCAAAATTATTCATGACATATGCATTATCAATGTTTCACATACTTGCAGCGGAATCATAGTTCAAACAAGTTTGATTAAAAACACTTCATAGTGCCCCATGATTTATGGTTCACAATTCAACATGATTTAAACTCCATGGAAACAATTTAAATGTCATAACAAAACAAGAACAAAATAGTTTTCAAAACAAATCGTTTCCGTCCTCGATGTTACATATAATAGCAAGACCTTCTAGACTCAACGGAAATAAATCACACTCCAAAGTTATTCTTCCAAGCCTTTAGGGACTACTCTTGATTACCCATATGTTACCCACGTAGAGGAAATATTCAAGCAAAAAGGGTGAGTTTATCACATTCATTATATAAGATGTAAGTAATAGACATATAAGAATAAGCCTAAAGTATCACCATAATCGATTCAACAAATTCATCTTCCAAGCTCAATCAACACAATACAACATCATCAATTAAGAACCATGCAATGCCACATAGGATGTTGTGCAAGGACATAGACGCATGTATGTGGTTCCAATTCTTCTTGATGGACATTAGGACATCACCCTCCAAATACCCCAATCATAGGATTGATTTCCACTTGGAACCAGAGTAAATCACAGACAACCCAAATCTACACAATATGATTGAGACCAAATCACTGGACCAATGTCCTAAATCCTTACAATAGACCAAAGTTGTCCAATGAATGCATGATGCGCAACAACATATAAAAAATAAACACAATGCATCATCATTCATGTATTAATCAACATCATACATAAACATCGTCATGTATACTCATATAATCATCATACATATTCATATAATCAAAACATCATCATAGTAACAACATATCATCATTGTTGTACCCCAAAATTTTCCCTCTCATTTATCAAGACTTTTCTCACAAGACTTCTTGGATTCAAGACAGGATTAGGGTTTGGTCAGCTCAAGACACCTCATCTTGCACTGATAACCCAAAATTAGGGTTTGAGTATGCATAAGGATTTTTGGACCATCAATGCTTCATGTGACTTTCATACACCATTTTGGACCCCTAATATTGCTCATGATAAGTTTCAAGCCTTGAATCACATTTTTGCTCAGTCAATTGGACAGTTGACCTAAAAATCAATTGTATTGGGGGAAAAGTCAACCATGGCCAATTTACAGTCAAACTTCATAATTTTTATCTACAACAACATTTTAGATTCATATGTACCATTTGATCAAGTTTGGATCACAACTCCTCAAGAAATTTGATCAAATCATCAAAAGGGCAAAATGGTCAAAATTAGGGTTTTGACTAAGGAAGGGCAATTTATGATTTTTAACCTAGCCAATGACCAATTGGGTTCAAACATTATTTCAATGGTTCAATGGCATCATCTTGACCTAATCACATGGTTCAAAAGATCTCAAGTTCATTGGATTGACAGATGAATTTTGCAGTCAACTGATCAAAAGTCAACTGTACACTGAAAAGTCAAACTTTGACTTTTTGGTCAAAATCAAGTGCCAAGGGTCATAATTCATCAAGATATGTTAAAATATGAAACTTTTTCACCAAGAAAACCAATTTTGAAAATTAGGGTTTTGAATTTGAAAATTTTCATAACTTAGAATTTTTCTAAGTATGGAAATTTTCTTATTATTTCCCAACTTTTCACCACTTTTTCACCATGATTCAATTTGATTCAAAGAAAACTTCCAACATGAAAGTTGTAGTCCTCCATTAAATATACAACTTTTATTCACAAACTTTTCCCAAAAGATGCTTGGATCTCAAGTTATGAATTTTTTAATATAGGTCCATGAACTAAATAGTGAAATTTTGCCCTAATTTAGGCAGATTTTTGACCCAACTTCATGGACATTTTTCACCTATTTCCAAGAGGTATATCAAAATTCATTTCAAAGATGGATTATAGAGCACATTGCAAGCTTTCCAAAATGTCCAAGAAATCTCTAAGATCATTTTTGGTTAGGGAGAATCGAAGATGGGAAGTTGGCATTTTCTCACTTTTGTTCATACCATTTTTACAAAGCATCAAGTTGCAAATCAGATCCATGATGTTTGTACCTTGCTTTAAAGGTCCTAAACTCATTTTACACTCCATAATTAAATGGAAACTCAGAAGTTAAAGGCTTTATCTTGGCTTTTGGAACATTGTACAAGAGATAATTCCATTTTAGGCACAAAGGTTACAATGTCATTTTCATAAAGGTGAGATTTTGCAACTTTACAAATCTTGAGGCTTGGACCTATCCCTTTGGTACAAACAACTTCCACAGGTATCAAGCAATGTGTACCAACTCCTATTAGCTCACAAGCCAGCCAGTGCAAGCATGTAGCAATGGTTACTTCACTTTTCTTCAAATGCAAGAAAAAGTTGCCAAAAGGTCAGAACTTGTACAGCAAGGGAAGAATGGACTTTGTATCATTTATATACAAATATACAAAGTTATCACAATGCTCAACACGCTTGCTTGACATTTGAAACTCTCTCAAACACAAAAATACCAAATTTCTTCCCAAACTCATAACTTCTGCAAAATCCTAGCCAATTCATTTTTTGCTCGTGCATTTTGTGGCTTGACACTTGAAACACCTCATACACATCATACCAAAGCTATCCAAGCCCTTACCATGCATTTGTAAGCTCTGTTTCAGCCATTGCCATTCTCAAACTTGGAGCTTTCAGCTTGACTTCTACAAAGAGTTCTAGCCATCCACAAAGCAAACTAGGCATTGGAATAGCTTGAAGGAAGTTCAAGGAAGCTCACACGATCCTCAGGCCTCCATCAAAGTCCCTACATTGCTCTATCCAAATCCAACTGAAGGAGGTATTATTTAAA